TTCATTTTAAGACAGGTCAAAGCTTAAGGCATCAACTGTTGGATGAGTAATGCCATCTTACACATTCTGAACGGGAATCTCTGAAACAGAGGTGCTGGGGGTTATGAAGTCATTTCAGTGTTGCCTACCATTCTCTCAGTCTTCCTTCAATCATTGTCATAGGAGAAATTAGTTTCTAAGATAGAGACTCTCCTATGAATGATTCTCATAAATCCGAACACATTTCTTTCTTGAGGCAACAGAAAGCTTAGCTACATGACAAAGTGAGATTAGGGAAGTATTAATGTGAGAAAGTAGTACATTTGTTTCAGTGTAATATATGAAGCTACTTGTTAACAACTACCGTTTCCTTCTTCTCTTCCAGTGCAGAAAATTAGATGTTGGCCATAGAGTCAAGTAAGGCTGAAATAGCATGAAAAGAGAAACATAAACTCTTTTGAACAGTCTTTTTTTCACCAGCTGTTACACTCTTCAGGTGATATAAATCCTTAGTGAATCCAAAAACATCTAGGAAGGCATTGGGAAATTAACAGTGATGTTACTGAAGACCTGCATCACAGGACAAAAGTGACTCATTATAAAACCCACAGACATTCCATGAAGTATCTGTTAATTCTATCATAACCAAAACTGCTGCTAAAGATATGCCTTTCTTCTACCAGCAAAGTCTTCTATCATAAACAAGTCTCCTTATGGCTTTGTCCAAAAGGAATGAAAAGGATTAATGGAAGTTTAGTTTCCAACAAGTCAATCTTGCTTTCAATCTTTTGTTTTTTCATCATTAAAATTTAGGATAAAATATTATTTCCAGCTTTCACTGTTTATAATAACCTGAACATATTTTTCATTCATGTGGAACAAATGTTTCTTTGTCCTGACCTTTGAAATGCCCGAACTGATCTACACTTGCAGATTAGCAATAAGGTTGCACTTTCAATGCTGTCAGTCACAGAAACAGAGAATATAACTTTGTGATGCTGAGGACCATGGCATGCAGCCATTGTAACCCATGGTGCAATTCTAGTGACAGATACATACCCACTGGTACCCAGCTCCTCAGTGTTCTCAGCTCTTTTCATGTTATTCACACAAATCCCTCAAAACTTTTTTGTCATTTGTTAAATTAGTGCTATCTGCAGTCATTGACTTCACTCAGGTCTAGGTTCATTATTGCAGTCATTATTATATGCCACTGTATCAATATCATAGAATCATAGAATCATTTGGTTAGAAAAGACCTTTAAGATCATCGAGTCCAACTTTATGTTCACCACTATGGCAACTGAGATTAAAGTGAAACAGAAACCTCTACTTCTAGATGATCAATCCAAATTTGGTTCATGATGGTAGCAAGGAGGAGATGGTACCACTATATGTCTTTCTAGAATGTGGTTGTCTTAGTCTTTGCAAATCACAAATGACAGTGTTTTTTGGCAGATTTCAGAGAAGTCAAGAGCTAAAAAAACCCCGTTTTATCAGCACAACCCGGCAATGTCTATCAAAATCAGGCTTCAAAAACTCTAGAACAATAGGCACAGGCAGACATTACTGTTCTTTGCTATTTGCAACTTGCTAAAGAAACTTTGCTATGGTTATCTACCTGTTATTTCCAGTGTGAAAGAAATCCATCCATTTAAAAAACAAAGACAAAACAACACATGCTTATCCCTCAAATAAACACACACCACTGCCTTGTCAGTAGCAATCCATTACTGGCTGCAGCAAAAACACAGAAATATTTGAGTTGTAAGCAAATAAACATAGCAGGGCTGTACACAAAAGCCAGTTTTTACTGGCAACATGACATGACTTGAAGACAAATGACAAAATAAAGCTGCTATAAATCTAAAATCCCAAAAACTTAGAAAGGTGAAATTTTCAAAAGTGAAAGGAAGAATTAGTAGTTTTGTTTGCATTACAAAGTGACAGAAATTAAGTATTCAGCTTTCTTTTCTGTCCTGGGCCACAAGAAAAGAAAAAAAAAAACAAACCAAAACCAATTGACTGTTTTTATGAAAAAGACTGGATTTAGATTGAAATAGTACAAACCTGCCCCGTGGCTTTAGGGAGGCAAAATATGATCACAGATTTAGAATTTGGCCTGGCAATTTATTTGCCTCGTTAGTACCATGAGAACCACCTATGTCTTTATCAATGACTAGCAACCACCATTTGTGCTTCTTCACCGAGAGGGGACACTTCAAACAGCAAATTATGCGTTACATATGTTACAGTTACTTTTTGAGTATCACCTCAGTGTCCATCACAAACACTTAAACAAAATTACTTTCCTTGCAGTCAACAGTTCCACCATTATTTCTAAAAGCATATGAGATCTCTCCACAGAGTTCTGCATTACTGCTTTGGAAAGCATTTCCAAAGTGATTAAATCTGACAAAATTGTACAGCAACACTGCTACAAAAGTGATTGTAGTTAAGAATCCAGCATTTCCTAAAATAAAGCATAATAAAGCAAAAGAGATATGAACTTGTATTTGCATCTGGACAGATCCACATGCCACACTGAACCTCACCAACTTAAAACAGTTCATATTTCCAAGAAAGGTTACACTACAGTCACTTCAGCGCTTCTTGTTCCTAAAAAATAAGAAAAAAGAACTTCACATACAAAGAGAGGAAAATTTTCCATATCTCTGGGATTAACCTATAAGAATTTCAAGCTTGGTATAAGCAAGAATTTTAGATATAGTTATTGATCTTAAATAAACTGTAACTTTCTTATACACTGCACTACTTATAAAACTGGTCCTATTGCCACCTGCATCTGACAAATTACTACAAAAAACTGCATACAAGTTTGCAGTGTTGTGCAAGAGCGGACAGTAGTGAGCAGGAATAATGATAGTTAAGTATTAAAGCTCACGCTGTAGGTCCAAATTCTTACATAACTCACAGAAGTATACTGTTCTCCCAGCAGCATTCAAATGTAGGAAAACTGAGGAGGGATTAAATTTCCGAAAGTTCTCAGCCAGTGGGGCTAGAAGGGACAGTTTCTAGTGAAATCCTAAAAATTACAACACTTACTTTAATTGTTTCAACATGGATTTAGAATTTCATGGGTCTTGGCCATGGCCAAGATGATGCTTTTCTTACAAAATCCCACCCTACTTCTCTGCTAGAGGGAAGAACAAAAAAACAAAAGGAAAAAAAAAAAAAGGAGGCGAAACAGACCACCCACCTATTTTAGCCTATCACAAAGTATTTCCATCCTACATTCTTCCTCTATTGATTCCTTAAAGATAAATGTTTGCACTCTACTGGGCTTGTCATCTAAAATAATCTCATTTATTACTTGGTAGGAGTATACACACATACCATCTTTCAAACACCATCTGTTGCAGTGTTGTGAATTTTAGGAGGTGGAAAGGAAAAAAAGAGAGAAGATATGGAAGATATTAGGAAATGAGATCACCACGTCCTGATGCAGTCTGAGGGAAGAAACGTCTCTCAGACCTGTAAGTCCTACTGCAACACAGAAAAATCGAAACAACCGTGTCTTGCTTTCAACATATTTCACAAGTGCTTTCCAAATTTTTCCGTCAGTTCTGACAGCACCTTTACAGGACTGGAGGGGGCAGGGGGGAAAGGTAGCGTTTGCCTCGCGAAGGAACGCCTAGGCTCCCCGCTTTTTCCCGCCCTCGGGCACAGGACCACAACTCCCGCTGGAGTCCAGCAGCCTTTTTACATACCTGGTAGGGACCACAACTGAGGAGGGCTATAGGGCTACTTTTAAGAAACGGCGAGGCACCCTGCCTTTTCCCGCGGGCACAAAGCTGCGAGCGAGGGAGCCTCA